TTTTAGGCTAGCATAGCTTCGCTGCTAGGCTAACTGCTGTTAGCACAACATGAACACAATAGTCTTCTCCACGCAGAACCTTAATATGTAAAAAGAAAAAGTGATTAATTGCATTAATTTTTCAACATATTAAAATCTATAATTAATTATTCAAACTGAAAATACTGAAGAAACATGAAGCAGCCGATTCCCAGTTTAATGGATAAATAATATCAACAGGTTTATTAATGAGGTCCAGTTCTGGAACAGGTGTTCTGACTGTCTGTCATACCCGTAAATCCAGCATACCTTATAGTAATGCGCATGCGCACATCGATGTTACGTCAAATACTGCTAACTCAGCAGATTTCTTATAAGTCCTTCATACATGTAGACGTTTGATTTTTTTGTGTTTTATTTCTCAGAAGTTTACGTAAATTTTATTTAATTAAGCTGCTATGTTAATCAAACATATGAACATAAATAGATTTTGCTGTTTCCAATATCGTTACCAAACTGTAAACAAGACATTAGTCCCGCTTTGCGTCACTATTTACTGCCCATATATGGTCTTGCTGCAGCTGTTCCTGTCCGAACTCATCAACGGTTTAGACACGAGTTTCTTTCTGCTGTTTTTTTTCCTTCTGGTGTTTAAATTGGAGGGATGAACGTCCAACTCAGGCACGTAACGGCGGCAGCGCCTGCTGCTGCTCCCTCTCACACGGCCATCTGCAAAATGTAATCATTAGTCAATAAATGAAATTGCTTAATGACTTTTTCTGCTAATGTTGCATAGAGGCAGGAAGACGGAGCTCCGTAAAATGTTGCCAAAACCAAATCTAATAGATTGGAAGGAAAACGGGATATTAATAGAAACCAATTTGCTGCCCAGAGAGCTGAGTGGGAAGCAAGTTTGTGTCTGTAGGAGCCATTTCCTGGAGGCCCTGTGGTTAGCATAGTAATGTGTCAGCACATATTTTATTGTAATGTTGGCGTGCTAACATGTTAGTGTAACTCTTCTTATTATGTTGTTGGTCACCTAGCACAACAAAAGATGAAAAACTCCTCACAATGTGATTGACTGCAGCCAAGTGGTCCGACAGGCTCCACCAGCGCTCCTCAGAATTCTTTTATTTCTTTTTTTTTTAGATGTGATCGTATAGTTTAACAACACTTACAACTGTTAACAAATTTTCAAAACTAAAACAAAACATTCTTATGCAATGAATCAATCAAAAATAACATCAACAGCAATAAACAGTAAAATAACAGACAACAGCTACATCAATTAACAGTCAAAACACTCACAAATATTTTTCTATGTAACAACAAATTCACTGTCTGAACC